ATCCAAGAGCTTCCGGGGGCTCCGCCCCGTGGACCCCACCCATTAAGGGCTTTGCGCCAAGGCACTCGCGGTGACCGTGTGCGCTACTCGCGCACACTCTTCATATACATTATGATGGAAGTAACAGCGAAATCATCCCCCCTACAACTGAGGACCTGTCTACGCCACTGCTATCAGAGCACCCGCCGGAGTTCCAGGAGAAGGAGTCCCCTAACACGAGGCGGCGCCACTAGACACGCCAGTCCTGCTATTCTTCGTCTATGATATTTGCATAGATATAGAATACAGAAGAAAAAAATATATAAAATAGATATCGAATTTTAATGCAGATGTAGAATTCTGTATTCTAATATCTATGGATATTTCTATGCAAAGAACGCAATAATAAAACAAGTGAACAGATCCAATATAAACAAGTGTTGCAACATGGCGACCCTCATGGAGGCTCTCAGGCCTTTTTCGAAATTGTCATTTTTACGGTTTACATCTCGGCAACATAAGTATGGAAGGTCATCCTTATCGTATACAGTCGGCCGGTCACTGGCTAGAGGTCTCAATCCTCCAATGACACGTTCTTTAGCTTCTAACCTGTTATGTTACCGAATAGTCACCCGACAAGACTCCGTCTCTGAAGTATGTCATCATCAGCCTATTCGGCAGTGTCACACTCAAGTTGCAAGGAGCAAGACAGCTTTGCCTAATATTAAAAGTACAACAGCTAGGTTTTATCAAAAATGCTCTACTCCCCACATTCTGCTGTCAAATGCGTATGCAGGTATTCGTGTCTCATGCTCGGAAACGTGGGCCAGAGGCAGAGGATTTTGTAGTGATGCAAAAAATGGGGGGTCACAAGAAGGTGATGGTGGCGGTGATGAAGGGAAGCCAGTCGATGCGCCGACTCATATTAACCCAGACCCTCAGGCAGATCCATACCAAAATACGATGGCGCTGACGGCCATGGGTGTTCCAGAGGAGTTTCCGCAAGTGCCTGTGATCGCAGTCAGCCGCAACCCCGTTTTTCCGAGATTCATCAAGATAATCGAGGTACCAGCATGGTTCGCACAGTCCTTGAAAAGTCCTTGAATTTGAGGGTAGTCCTTGAAAAGTACTTTAATTTGGTAAATGTTGATTTTGTGCTTAAAAAGTCCTTGAATTTCATGAAAATGTCCTTGAATTTTTAGAAAGAATCCTTTCCTATAATAAAAAGAAATTTTGTACCATCAATAATGTGCAAACCTCAATAAAAATTGCATTAAATGAGCTTAAAAAGCTATAGACACGATAGACAGTTAAATGATGATCACAAATTACAGTAAGTCAGTAAAATCAGTCAGTAAATCAAGGTATGTTGTAGAAGTGATAGTGTTTAGAAGGGTTTATTATTGTGATCCAGGTAAGTTTTAGAGGTGACGGTGATTAAGAATGGGGTTATTAAATTAATCCAGGTATGTTTTGTTCTGTGTATGAATTTCTGATAAAATGTCCTTGAATTTCTGATAAAATGTCCTTGAAAAGTCCTTGAAATTTTTTTTCAGTCTTGTATGAACCATGTACCAGTTTTACTACTGTATAAGCTCAAACTTAGTAGGTTAATTCTGATAATTGCATTGTTAATCTTGGGACTACTCTGCTAATCCATAGCCATTTGCATCTGGGCCATTGTATCATATTACCACCTGTTTTTAGCTCATCTGACATAGTCAGATGCAGCTTGTAGAATCGCATGATCGTCCGTCCGTCCGTGCGAGCGTCCGTCCGTCCGTCCGTCCGTCAACAGTTGGGCACATATCTTAACCGCTCGACGTACGGTCACGATATTCGGGACGTGGGGGGGTAATCAGAAAACGAGTTGGGATGTCGAAGCTGGGGTTCAAAGGTCAAAGGTCAAGAGGTGTAAAAGAAGGGGGAACATTCACTCCTTAACTTAAGGTATAGGGAGGAAATGCAGAATTGCCGCGCACAAAAATCTAAACGGCTCGACCCTAGGCTCGTGATAGTTGGTGTATAGCCAAATTCATGGCATCAGGCAACTCACAAAAAGCCATCACCATCACTGGTGCCGAAATTGGAGTCACACACAACACAACCACCACACAAGGTCAAAGTCAATGGGCAACGGGCAGATTTTAGGACACATTTTTCTGAGGACATGGTGCTGACGAAGCGATTGAAAAACTTTTTTGTTCTCAGCGGTGACCTAGCATTTTTATGGGCATTATGAAAAGGACCATGCAAATCTACTTTCTGGCTGACATGCGCGAAGCAGTAAGTGTCAGATAACCTTTTGACCCTCAAGAGGAAGGGTTAGACCATGGATTTGTCTGACTGTCTGTTGAAAGAATTTGACTGCCGGCGAGTCAAACATCCTGCCTATAGTCACAACAAGGTCTCAAAAACGATGGGCACTGGATAGCTATGAGACGCTACCCAAAAAATGTCACAGTGAAATTTCAAAAGCTAATTTGGTTAAAGAAGGTTTATGCTCCTTAAAATCGTAATAAATTTCTATGGGCATCTGTCTGTACCGTCAGTATGTAAAATTAACATCTCCTAACGTATTGCCACACTGCACGGGACGATAGACAAACTACAAAAACGCCCCAGTGCACAAAACGAGTAACTCGGTGCGTCTTCCACTCCCTCGGTTGTAGTTTTTGCCCTGTGTTAGATTGTTTAAGCGTGTGCAGCTCTTATTGCAGCCCTGCTAGCGTTCTTTTCTCGTTAGCCGTACCACATCGACTTGAGTCCTTACCCTGACTTTCTGATTGGCGAAATAGTTGTTGGCTACAGCGTATGATGCGGGAGCATCACATCATTTTTTAATCTGAAGACCACTAAAATAAAAACTTACACCGTACGTTCCGCCATCCCGTGTCGTCGCAACTTTCATAACGCATCACGAACGAGACACAAATCTCTTATTGAGAAGGTTCCTGAGAATAACCAATCCCTGTGGCATCCACTGTTTCGGCATGTATGTGAACACATTCTGTCCGACCTCTCCAACAAACAGGGCTTTATACTAGAAAATCCCACGCATAAACTCAAACCACAGAGTCACCGCAGCAGAAAACGTGTGAGATGAGCGGCTGTCGCTCCGGCGGCACTTGTTTATCAAATGTTTTGAGGCAAAAGTTTGCATTTTATGCCACACGTGTATAGATCATGAACATCTTTATATCATACTTTCAGGTTACTAACAAATCACTTGTAGAACTTCTGCGACGGAAAGTACGACTTAACCAGCCATACGCCGGAGTGTTTTTAAAAAAGGATGATAGGTTTGTTTATTTGTTTTTATAGTTTTCAATGGTAACGTCACGTCAGTGGGTACAAATTTTAATTAGTCGTCATCCCACATTTCAGCCAACCAAATGACATTTTTGCCAAACAGGATTTTTCGCATTCATGAGTCTGCTAAGGTGGTTGTAAAGTGGAGCAGAATGAATGACATGGAAAATTGCACTAAGAATTTTTGCACCAACAGTCGCTAAGTCGTCTGATTGGGTGCACGTTGGTCATCCTGTAGATGAAAATGAAGGCATTTTTTAAATTAAAAGATATCGGAGAGTTGTGCAAAATTGTCATGAATCACTGAGAATGCTTTGGTAGTTTCGCTCGGTACTTAATCATAATCTAATTTTTTTTGCCTAGGACGTTTTAATCGACTTACTTAACAACTTAACTTCCGCTGATGTTTTTTACAGCCGTTAGTCGCGAAGACTAGTAAAGAAATTTTCAAAGGTAAGTAAGGTAAGGTAGTTAAAAGAAGATGTAATCTTGTTGACGATTTCTTAAACACATATGATAGTCTCGATACTCTGGTGTAGGCTTTGCCAACGAAACGGTAACTTCGCTAGGGTTACGTATATTGACGTTAGTCACACAGCCTGGTTGGGTAATACCTGGTGCTGAGTGCTGAATGCTGAATGAATTAATATTAGAGTCAGTGCATCATAAATTATGCCAAATTTAACAAAATCATGCTATGAAAAAGTAAGTGCTGCCGCAGGGCTAAGAATAGCTCGCGTAAAAAAAATATGAGCTCTTTTTTTCATACTAAATCAAAAAAGAGCCTCCGTAAAAAAAGAAAGCTAATTATTTAGCTGCCGCACAGGAATAAAAATTTAGCGGCAAACTTATTATTTTGTAAATTTTCATACTAACCTCTACATTATTCTAATGAAATGAATGGTAAATTTTTACATCAATATAGACTCAAAATATCAAATACTCCAGAAAGCCTAAAGTCCATGCGAAGTACACAAACTCTCCATGTTTGTTGTGTTCGATTTTCTGTTAAACCTCTGCTAATTCGATAATACTGGGCATCCCCGACCAATCACTGAATCAGCGATCGCGTAATAAAATATGATAATTTTGATGATAATAGAAATAATGGCCGGTCTTCAGAGACCGCTGATCTTTGAAATCGACTTGCGGACTTGTTCCGATTTACTACACATCAGTGTATCGAAACGTGTAAAAAATATAATGTTTAAGAATACCTTAGAATGCACATCACCAAATTGCACCATCCCCCCTATAAAAACGTCCCCACATCCGAGTCATTCACTTTGCTACGACAGAAATCCTGGACCAGTGCCTACTGACCAGGACCAGTGCTTCCTCAGATGCACTGGTCCTGCTGGACCAGTGCCTCCAATTATCAGTTTTTCACACTGCTACCCCACCTACCTCCTGGCAAATCACAATGCTCGTCACTCTGCGCCTAGTAAGAGTCCTTCGGCAGGACTAGTAGAATCTTGGAAGGACTAGTACATTTTTTTTTTACTAGTCCTGTGGACTAATGAACTAAAATGGTTAGTGTCTAACCCTGATCGCGGTTTGCAATGTATCATGAAAGGTATATTGTGATATGGATCGTATCATGAGCTACCCAGGTCATCCCACCCTACTAATACTATATGGTCATGTTGTTACTGTTTGTGTTGTTCTACCTAGTAAGTTTGTTTGTGATAGAATTGAGGCATTGATGCAGGAAATTAATAACAGTTTGCTTGCATTCAGCAATGAAGAGGAGGTAGTTAGCAATCTGGATGACATACACCAGGTAGGGTCATTTGTACAGATCCATGAGATGCAAGATCTTGACAATAAACTACGGATGATTGTTATGGGTCATAGAAGGTAAGTCACTGCATAAATAGAGCAAGTACTGGTGGTAATAACTATATTCACCTAATGATCTCTATATAAAATCAATATAATGTTTTTATTTCTACAAGTTTCACAAACGATTTCTCACATAACAGTTTTGCAAAACAAGGTGTTAGATCAAAAGCCTGCGATAATGAATGCCTGATTTGTAAAAATGGGTGATATAAAGTTGTCAATTTTGCTAGGATTTATTAAAACATTTAATCAGCAACACATTTCAGTTTCCTAACACACGGCAACATTTGCTTAGGATCAAGATCACAGGCTTGTTAAAGGACTCCGAGGATGTGCAGCAGCCACAACCAGTGACCGATGAAAACATTGCACGGCGACGTCGCGTCAGAACTGGTCGCCGGAAGAACAATGTGGCTGCAGAAGAGGTGGGCTGGCTCCGGAAGTTGTGGAAAAAGGCCTAGATCAATGATCTACCCATTTCATTCTTTGCTGTCGATATATGAGCTTAACGTCTGATTATTATTGTAATTAATTTTACGTATTTTTTTTTTTTAATTTGCTGACAAGTGATAGATACCTTGCAGTTGAACAGAATTATATAGTAAATAAAATTGCAGGTGCTTTCTATTAAGTGATTGAGATACCATATTCTGCTTATTGACATTTGCAGTTGATATAATGATACTCATTCATATTTCATTCTTCTTAGTTTGTCAACTTTATAACCCAATTTGCATGTCTTTGACAATTCTTAGTCAGAGGAGACTCCACAGGAAGAGCCGGTTGAGGGCACAATTGAAGAGCCAGCTGTGGCAGTCGAACAAATGATGCATGAGCAACCAGTCCAGGAGACAGTCTCTGCGACTGTTTTGATGGCAGAGGTGGAGAATGTAAATCACGAACCGTTTAAGTACACGGAAGAAATAAAAGTAAGATTGAAGTAAAAATGTAGGAATTTACACAGACATTTTCAGTGCTCTATTGTGATCTTGTCAATATTTGATCTGGTAAGTGACTCTCTTCATTGTTGTAGGCACTCACACAGGAAATAGTAAAGACAATCCGTGATATAATTGCCTTGAATCCATTGTACAGGTAAGATAGTTAGTGTTGCATTCTGTCTTTGAGGCAAATTATTTAGAATGAGATTGAAAATTATCAGGTGACATTTTCTATTTTATTCAATTAACAGCCTTGTAGTTACTACATGCACGTTTTCTGCACAGTGTACTCTATTGCACTGCAGAGACACCTTTATTCATGGCAGATTTTCATAATCTGAAATATTGAAAATGTTTTACACGGAGAGCACAAGGCATCATGGCAGTGCTTGACGTGGCTGTTATATCTCATGCAGAGAGTCCGTGGCACAGATGCTTCAAGGAGGACAGAGAGTCATCGACAATCCGATATATCTAAGCGATCTCGGGGCAGCGTTGACTGGCGCTGAGTCACAAGAGCTGCAACATGTGTTAGAGGAGACTAAGGTGTGGTCACAACATAAGGAATTTCTAAGGGGGCACCGAAGCCAAAATAATTCACTTGGGCTGGTGCTAGAGTGTTTCGCCCCTATGGAAGATTAGCTGTGTTGCTTACCATTTTGCAACTCCACTTGTGTCATTTGGAGGTATTTGAGGTCATTTCACCTATTTATAAGTTTTACTGTTGCTACATCCAAACTCATGCAGCCCTCTGCTCGAGCCCAGATAAAAAGCCCCCACCCCATGTTGTCAGTGGAACAGAAAAAAAGGTCTGGTCTACCACAATCTGTACGTGTGTGATGTGCTTCTCGTCTCTGCTGGCTATCGTCGCTCGTGCTCCCCACCGTTCACGTCGCTTACATTCGCAGATTCCACAACGACTGTACAGCGCTCTCTCTCTGCTGAAGAAGGAATATGAGCTGAGCAAACTGCAGCAGCGGCTCGGCCGCGAAGTCGAGGAGAAGGTCAAGCAGACGCACCGGAAGTACATGCTGCAGGAGCAGCTGAAGATAATCAAGAAGGAGCTGGGACTCGAGAAGGACGACAAGGATGCGATCGAGGAGAAATTCCGCGAGCGACTAAAGGTGAGATGTCAGTGGTATGCGAGACACCGGAAAAATTGTTGCTGGTGTGGATCTAGTACGTATAGTACACCAGTGCGGGTGAAACATCGCTTTGATTATACTCTGACCCTGACTCTACTTCCCTTTTGTTGATGTCACACCACAACTCTGAACATACTTCCCTTTGTTGATGTTGCACCCCAGCCCTGACTCTACACCCCATTGTTGACACCATACCCCAACCCTGACGCTATGCCCCATTGTACCATGCCCTGACCCTTATCCTACTCCTCATTGTTGACACCATGACAGAACTTACCCTACTCCCCAGCATTGATGTCGCACCGCAACCTTACCCTGCTCCCCATTGTTGATGTCACACCCCAGCCCTGACTCTACTCCCCAGCATTGATGTCGCACCGCAACCTTACCCTGCTCCCCATTGTTGATGTCACACCCCAGCCCTGACCCTACACCCAATCATTGATATTGCACCCTAGCTCTGACGATACACCCCATTGTTGATATTGCACCCCAGCCCTGACCCTATGCCCCATCGTTGACACTACGCTCCATTGCTGACACCATCCCCCGATTCTGACCCTACAGGCCTACACCCATCGTTGACACTACGCCCCATTGCTGAAACCATCCCCCGATTCTAGCCCTACTCCACATTGTTGATGTCACACCCCAGCCCTTACCTTACTCCCCATTGTTGATGTCACAGCAGCCCAACCCTACCCTACTCCCCATTGTTGATGTCTTACCCCAGCCCCGACTCTACACCCCATTGTTGATGTCGCATGCTGTTTCTCCCGCCACCGCCGCTGTGCAGGAGCTCGTTGTGCCGCCGCACGTGATGGAGGTCATTGACGAGGAGCTGAACAAGCTGGCGTTCCTCGACCCGCACTCGTCCGAGTTCAACGTCACGCGCAACTACCTCGACTGGCTGACGTGCATGCCGTGGGGCAAGCGTAGTGAGGAGGACCTCGCGCTCGATCACGCGCGCTCCGTGCTCGACGAGGACCACTACGGCATGGACGAAGTGAAGAAGCGCATACTGGTGAGTGGCGCCATCTAGCGGCGCACATGTGAAGCTTTGTGCAATGTCGATTCGTTAGGGGTTATTCACCGAGCGTGAGGTGCTTGCGTTGAGTCGAGTGGTATTGCTGACAGATGGACCAGGGTAAACATTAGAGGTGGGTGTCATGTGTAAGGCAAACTTACTGTAGTATAAGTGATGTGGTCTACTGGGATTTTGTTTATGTCACTGTGTTTTAATTACAGGAGTTTATTGCTGTTAGTCAGCTGAAGGGAGCTACCCAGGGCAAGATTCTGTGTTTCTATGGCCCACCGGGTGTTGGCAAGACAAGCATTGCCAAATCTATCGCCCGGGCCCTCAACCGAGAGGTATTGCTGTTCATGCCTAAGTAGATGGTGGCATTATCACAGCACAGCAAAAGTACACAGTTACTTGCAAATAGTTACTTGATGTACCTTGTTCTATAAGTGTAGCATGGTGAATTTAGCAAGGTAAATGCAGACATACCTCATTTCGTAGAAATGGTAGAGAATATGTGTCAGGTGACCCAAATCAATTGCTTGGTATTAATGATAGGTAATGAGATTTATTCCTAGTGAGAGGAGAATAAAGCTGATAAATGCAGGGCATAACAAATGCTGTTTGTGATTAGTATTTCAGGTTCAGCGTTGGAGGGATGACAGATGTTGCAGAGATTAAAGGTCACAGGTATGTAGAGTGAAAGGTTCTTCGCTAAATGGAAAAACGACAGACTGTCCCAATATTGTATGCATCAATTAGGCATGTTAGGTGTGGGTATCCATAGCAACATTGAGCAGCCATGCAAGCCCTTCATGTCCATGTCCCTTGGTAGATGCATTGACTTCTATATCAATCCTTACCTGTATCAGAAAGTCCATCCCGACATGAACTGTTTGGTTGCAAGTGTGAATCACAAGTTTGTGAAAGTCACAGGTCAGTGTTCATTCCTGTCGCATTTACAGATGGTTCAAGTTCTGAGTGTGGTGGTTCTGTTACGATGCCATGTTTGTATGTTTATTTTTCACAGGAGAACATATGTCGGTGCCATGCCGGGAAAGGCCATACAATGCTTCAAGAAGACGAAAACCGAGAATCCACTTGTTCTTATCGATGAGGTGAGCAAAGTGCAAGCAAATTGTCACTTGCACAATGAGATGATGTGGAAACATGTAGTTGTATGTCCCGAGTGCTATATTTATAGAGCAATGCTGATATAAGATAAAAGATGAAAGGTTATAGTTGTGATAACCTGACTTGTTGTCTATCATCTCAATAAGACATAACAGAACATTAATTATATGATAAAACATAATAGAAATACGGTACAACATTGTCTCTGTTGTTGTCTTACAGGTGGACAAAATAGGTAAAGGGTACCAAGGTGACCCAGCATCTGCACTACTTGAGTTGTTAGATCCAGAACAGAATGCTAACTTCCTTGACCATTACCTTGATGTCGCGGTTGACCTGTCCAAGGTATGTACTGCATAATTATGTCTTATGGCACAAATGATTGAATGGTTGCATCACATGGGTTGGAGATCATATACTATACATACTGTATTGGGAAATAAATATGATCTCACAGGTTTAGGTTTGTTGTGTTGCTGGATATTACATGATACCTGTGGTTATTAACAGTTGACTGTGTGTTTGTGCGGGCATGCATGCACACATGTGTTTGCTCGTACACATGCTACCAGATGTAATGAACACATCAATCGCTGCTATCTCTCAATGGATAGGTGCTGTTCATTTGCACTGCCAACGTTACCGATACCATCCCTGAACCTCTCAAAGATCGTATGGAGATGATCGATGTATCTGGATATGTTGCCGAAGAAAAGCTTGCTATCGCAGAGGTACTATACTGAGCACACATAGTTAACAGCTTCCCTCCCTCTGCATTAAACCAGTTGGTTTCACTCGTCCAGCAAAGGTTGTCAGTATTTCAGCTATGCGCGACTTTGCATCGTGACGCTGACCCTACATTCTTCATCACCATATTGTTTGTCTCCGCAGCGATACTTGATCCCGCAGGCGCGCATTGGCTCTGGTGTGCAAAGCGAGTACCTGAGCATCACCGCCGATGCACTGACCACCCTCATCAAGTCCTACTGCAGGGAGAGCGGCGTGCGCAACCTACAGAAGCAAATCGAGAAGGTACGAGTGAGTCGTAGTGGTGCAGCACTGTGCGTGATTTGTGATACACAAGCTACCAAGTTAGTGATTTACTTTCTAGATTTGGAGACGAGATGTTGGAGTGATGTGTTTTTAGCTCATATGACGTAGTCAGATGCAGCTTGTAGAATCGCATGATCGTCCGTGCGTCCGTCCGTCCGTGCATCCGTTCGTCAACAGTTGGGCACAAATCTTAACCGCTCGACGTACGGTCACGATATTAGGGACGTTGGGGGGGATCGTGAAAAAGACTCAGGATGACAAATTTGGGGGTCAAGGGTCAAAGGTCAAGATGTGTAAACGGAGGGGAATATTTCCTCCTTAACTTAAAGGCTCACAATGCGCATCCAAATGCTAATTTCTCCAGTACTAGACTAGCAAATACTTCGTGGCATGCATACTCACACTACCTTATGACAAAATAAACTCTAGTTGCTCCCATTTCACTGCGCGTTTGCTTAAAACCCACAAGAAAGGACGGTTAGAAACTGGCATTTGCTGGCGCAACCACGCCTGACTGTTTGCCAAACAAAACTAGCCCTCGAAGGGTGACGTGACGTCACAGCGCCGATGTTTTTATCTTGCTACACGCCGTACCCGCTGTAGCACGAACCGCTCCCACCGTTGCTGGGGAGTTTGGGGAAACTGTCAACACCATCGGAGAATTGAACAACATTCGCACGCGTATACCTCTCACATCACCTTCTTAGTAAGACAAGCGCAGCGTGACAACTGGGAGCCAACTAGCAGTTATCTTGCTCATAAAGAGTGCGCCAGTATCCCGCATGCGATGCGAAGTATTGCTAGTCATACTCGGAGAAATTCACGTGCGCATGCCGCCATTCGTGCAGCCCTTAACCGCCTCCCACCCATCGAGCGGCCTCGGGCCGCAGACGGTGGACCACACTGCGCACAACCAGTCGTGGAAGTCGGCGCTGGACTCGTACTTCCTCTCGAAACCACGTCAACCCCGCCGACACCCACACGCACAACCTCGCTCGACACTGCAACGCACCAAAAACCGGCACGGACCCGCCGCCCCGCGACCACCGGGCCACCACACCACCGCCCAGCCCCGCCCCGCCCCCCGCGCCCGCCGCGCCACAACCCCAACAACCCCAGCGAGCTCCATACTCAGACGTCGGCCGCTGGCCCCAGAAAAAACAAATAAATAAAAGTAAAAATTTAATTTGGAACGTTTACTATGGTCTCCTATAGATGACAGGGCTATATGCTTAGCAATTCAACCAAGCGTCACTGTATAAACCCCAGTAGTAGATGACATAATTTATAGCAATACTTTACCTGTTGTTTGGAACGTTATTTTGGGAGTTTTGGGACTGAGGTAATGTTTTTAGCGTCCATCACTAGTAGCAGCAGCTTGTAGAATCGCAATCGGGCGTCCGTGCGTCCGTGCGTCCGTGCGCGTCCGTCCGCGCCGTGCGTCAACAGTTGGGCACAAATCTTAACCGCGCGTCGCCGACGTACCGGTCACGATATTCGGGACGTGGGGGGTAAACCGAAAACGAGTTGGGATGTCGAAGCTGGGGTCAAGAGTCAAAGGTCAATCAAGGCAAGGGCGGTGTAAAAGAAGGGGGAACATTCACTCCTTAAACTTAAGGTATAGGGAGAAATGCAAAATTGCGGCCACAGATCACTAAAACGGCTCGACCCTAGGCTCGTGATAGTCGGTGTATAGCACATCATGGTAGGAAAAGCCATCACTGGTGCCGAAATGGAGTCACGAGGTCAAAGGTCAGTGGGCACAGGGCAGATTTTAGACATTTTCTGAGGACATGGTCTGACGGAGCGTTTGAAAAACTTTTTTGTTTCCAGCGGTGACCTAGCATTTTTATGGCTTTATTGAAAGGATCATGAAATGTCCTTCTGCTGACATGCGAAGAGTAAGTGTCGGATAAACCTTTTGACGCTCAAGAGGAGGGTTAAACTGGATATTGTTGACTGTCTGTTAGAAAGAATTTGACTGGCCGGGTTTGCTAGTAAATCTATACATGCCTGGATGTATGAGGCTACAATGTCACAGTGAAATTTCAAAAGCTAAATTGGTTAAAGAAGGTGTATGTTCCTTAAATCGTATAATTTCTATGTCATTCTGTACTGTCAGTATGTACATGTAACGTATGCCACTGCCAGTGGCTGCTGCCAGTGCATGTGTTGGTGCAGTTTTTGCCTGCGTTAATTGGTTACAGGTGGCAGCTCTCTATTGCAATTTGCAGCCTGTAGGCTTGCGTAGGTAAATGGATGAGTGCTTACCTATTCTGTCTTGCAAAATAGTTGTTGCTACTACGTATGATGGGAGCTTCCATCTTAATCTGAAGACACTTAAACGTGCGCGCCACTCTCGTGGCAACTTTCATAACGATCCCAACGAACATTCTTTTGAAAGGTTCCTGATACCATCCCTGTGCATTCCACTGTTTCGGCGTGTATGTGAACACATTTGGGACTAACAGGGTTTACTAGAATCCCCACCACTCCACCACAGAGTCACCGCAGTAGAACGTTAGATGAGCGCTGTCGCTCTGCGGCACTTGTTAGTTCACCTCGCCAAAGGGCGTTTTGACCGCCGTGTGTTGTGAAGTTGTTTTATGTCTGAAAGTTGTGTTTGATTTGATAGATCACGGGTGATAGATTCCGGTGTTGTTTTGATGTCTGAGAGTAAGTTTATATCTATATTATACTAGCCCACTAATTATAAATAATTTTATAGCTAGTTAAAACCTGCCAAAAAACTTTTGTGTAATAGGTGACTAAGCGGCTAAAATCGCGAAAATCTCAGCACAGGGCGGTAGGTGCATTGTTAACCAGGCAGCGTTGAACGTGTTAATATTCGGTGTATAGTGTGATGGGCAGGAAACCCATCACCAGTGCGAAATTTGGAGGTCACAGGTCAAAGGCGCAGTGGGGAAAGGTCAGATATCAGACATTTTCTGAGAGGACATGGGCTAATGGACAGAGTGAAAAACTTTTTGTTTCAGCGCTGACCTACCATTTTTATCGTTTTGAAAGGACATGAAATGTGCTTTCCACTGACGTGCGAAGAATAAGTGTCTAATAACCTTTTGACCCTCAAGAGGAGGGTTAAACATGGATTCCTCAACTGCCTCAATGACTAGACAGTGTTGTCATATTCATGGCACATCCATAATCTTGAAACCCAATGAGCCTGGATAGCCGAACGGGTACAGCACAGGCGTCACGGCTCAAAGGTCGCTGGATCGAATCCCATCTGATTTTTTATTATTTACCTGTTTTCTGTATTTTTCCATCTTTATCCATTTAACTATTTTTTTCCAATTAATGCAAATATTTACATGATTTATTTACAACAATTGAATAACAACAAATAATTTTGACAATTAAATTATTTTTTTTTAAATAGGGTTAGGGTTAGGGTTAGGGTCACAATGCACCATAAAACAGGAGTTTCAGGCTCGTGATTTGTATCAACCAATGGGATTTGGGAGGTATGCAGAATGCAGAAGGTTGCTGAAATGATGAGTACGCAACTGCGTATCTGCATATCTGCACCTAACAAAGGTGTCACTACGCACGACTTAAATGTTACGTTTATAATCGTAGCAACAGACCTCAGATGAGTACTTTTCGTCTGGTGGTAGATATTTCGAAAGGCGGCCTTCAAGCTTATTGATGAGAAGGACAAGCTGGAGGAGCTCTCTGTAGATGTGAACAACCTGCAGGATTATGTGGGCAAACCTATATTTACGACCGACCGGATGTACGACTCGACTCCGTCTGGTGTCGTGATGGGGCTAGCCTGGACATCTATGGGTACGTATGGGTGGGTTTTTTGCTTACCCACATATTTGCCCAAGGTTGATTATGATCTCCAGCTAGTACTGTACATTGGGTTCTTATAAACGTTATATCCACATGCTTAATTGTGGTACTTATTTTCTTCTGATCATCCTTTGTGATCGCATTTATGAAGTTTATGTTATGTGTATTGTATTTTCATGACTGTCCGTGTACGATAAGGTTTGCACTGTCTATACTTATTCTCTACCAGGTGGCTCAACATTATACATTGAAACGACACTGCGGAAGACACTTGGTGAAGAGTCAAAAGATGGCTCTATAGAATTAACTGGTCAGCTTGGATCGGTATGTGCGATGCTAAATTATACATTGGTTGGCTTTCTGTACATTTAAATTTCTAGTGATGTTCTATGCAGATTTTATAAATTGTATCCATAAAAATTAATCGATTGTGTACACTATAGTTGCTTACCCTAATTTTAGATCATTGTTTTTCACCAATCATCTGATCAATGTCGATCTTGTTGTCATAGGTCATGAAGGAAAGCTGTCAGATTGCCTACACGTATGCAAAGTCCTTCCTGATTGACCACAACAGTGACAACAAGTTTCTGGACAGAGCTCACCTGCACCTGCACGTACCAGAGGTGCGAGAGAAGGCCGTTTTATTTTCCACAATCAAATTACAGTATTTTGCGGCATATGGATGCGGCCACCTGCTAGCATGTGGAACGTGGACGTTAAACGGATATGATGATATGAGATGCACTGGCATAATTTACATAATTTACACATTATAGGCAGTACCATACCCAAGGGGGGTTCCAGGGGTTCCAGGACCCCTCAACCATCAAAAAATAAATAGGTATATTTTATCCAGAAGAAAACTATTAAAATGCACCAGAATGTACCATTTTAAAGCAAATTTTCACAATTTTCCCGGGGGGACATGAACATCACCCTCCAATCCCCCTAACATCGCTTCGCGCCTTCGGCGCTCGCAGTCACCTGCACACCTCTGATTTGGAACTCCCTCCCTTAGGCCAATCCTGGGCACAGGTCTGATAGGCACACGTAAATTTAGCTTGAAATGTGTGGGAAGAATAAAAGTGAGGGAGGTCTCCTTGAGCCTGCCTACAGACTGGGGGAGCTACAACTAAATCGTATATTTAAAGGTTATTTGTGCCCTTTAGATCATTGATCTTGTCTGATGTTTTAATGAGTTGAGCTAACTACGTATTGACTGAACCTTTATCTTTGATTACCAGTATGATCCTTTATATTTTTTCTTCTTCCCCTTTGTATTTAAAACACTACTTAAAAATGGTGCCAGTTACAGTTAACACAAATCATGAAAATAGTGGGAGTGGGGATGATGATGTTCACTTCAGTTTTCTGACAGGAGGCAATGATGAATTCAGTGTTTTGATTGTGACATGGGAGATACCAATATCTAGCTGGACCCAATCCCATGGGGGGGGGGGCACTCACCCCACATTATGGTAGGTATGTGCCACTGTGAAGTCAAAAATGGGGGGCTCTAGAACTAACTCAGACCTGAAAATGGGGGTCTCTGGAACTAATGTTTGTGGTATGTGCCACTGCAAAGTCAAAAATGAGGGGCTCTGGAAATAACTCAGACCTGAAAATGGGCGCCTCTGGAACGGAAGTTTATGGTGAAAAAGGGGGGTCTTTCCCGCAGCACATACCTACCATGCAATATATATGGAGTGCCCCCCCTGGGATCCAATGCCTGACCATGTAAAACACACTGATTTTCAGGATCCAATTTTGAAAAAAACGTACTTTATATTCCACAAGATGTGGTATTTGTGTTGTATTGTGGATGACTAGCACTTTCTGGTGGCTACCATAACTGTTATAGAGGTGATGGATAAACCCTTTTATCCAGTCATTTCTGTATGTCTTGTAGTTACCTGCAGTTGTTTTTCTTGGTATTTATAGGGTGCCACGCCCAAAGATGGACCAAGTGCTGGGTGTACGATTGTTACAGCATTGCTGTCATTGGCTCTCAATCAGCCAATCAGACAGGACCTAGCAATGACTGGTGAGCTGTCACTTACAGGGAAGGTGCTTCCTGTGGGAGGAATCAAGGAGAAGACCATTGCAGTAAGTGAAAGCTCACAGCAGAACATATATATGGGGATTTCTTATTCTGCCATATCACCTGGATCAATTTCCAATTCGATTTTGGCTATCAGCTCGTACAGTATGTAGTACGCATAACTAAATGTGTTTATCATGTGATAAGTGCAAAGATGCTGAAGCCGTAACGCTTACATCAAGCATAGGCCTGGATTATTACAGAGTTGACGGTTAGCTCATCGATAAGTCTGCTGACTACTTCAAATATGGTTCAGGGTTATGGTTAGATGTAGAGTTATGCTTAGCTTCGTGATTTTCTAGCATTATGCCTAAACCATATATGCGGTAAGAGGGACATGAATCTTGCTGTGAACCCATGCTATTGTAAAACTACTGCTGTTGTGTTGCTGCAGGCAAAGCGAGCTGGTGTCGACTGCATCATCCTACCCTCGGAGAACCGCAAGGACTACACAGAGCTTCCCAGCTTCATCACAGAGGGCATTGAAGTTCACTTTGTTAGTCACTATAGTGAGGTTTTCCATATCGCATTTCCTGAGCCTGAAGCACTTGATCTAGAGTCTGTGAATAGCAGGAGCTAGTGAGAGCTGATAACAGTGGCCACAATGCCAAGATTAGCTGCCCGCTCCCTATCCAAAACGTAGAAGTATGTATATTTAAAAGCGTAGTCAATGATCATTTATTTTACACGTTTTTTTGTTGTGAAAAGAAGTCACAACTCTCCTTGTAGTATCAGAGGGCTGTTAGATAGAAGACAAGTTTTCATGCGGTCGGCCATATCTATTGTCGTCTTTAGCTCATCTGACATAGTCAGATGCAGCTTGTAGAATCGCATGATCGTCCGTGCGTCCGTCCGTCCGTCCGTCCGTCCGTCAACAGTTGGGCACAAATCTTAACCGCTCGACGTACGGTCACGATATTCGGGACGTGGGGGGGTAATCCGAAAACGAGTTGGGATGTCGAAGCTGGGGGTCAAAGGTCAAAGGTCAAGAGGTGTAAAATAAGGGGGAACATTCACTCCTTAACTTAAGGTATAGGGAGGAAATGCAGAATTGCGGCACAAATCTAAACGGCTCGACCTAGGCTCGTGATAGTCGGTGTATAGCATCATGGTAGGAAAAGCCATCACTGTGCCGAAATTGGAGGTCACAGGTCAAAGGTCAATGGGCACAGGGCAGATTTTAGACATTTTCTGAGGACATGGTCTGACGGAGCGATTGAAAAACTTTTTTGTTTCAGCGGTGACCTAGCATTTTTATGGCTTTATTGAAAGGACCATGAAATGTCCCTTCTGCTGGCATGCGAAGAGTAAGTGTCGGATAACCTTTTGACCCTCAAGAGGAGGGTTAAACATGGATTTGTTGACTGTCTGTTAGAAAGAATTTGACTGCCGGATTTGCTAGTAGAATCTATACATGCCTGGATGTATGAGGCTACAATGTCACAGTGAAATTTCAAAAGCTAAATTTGGTTAAAGAAGGTTTATGCTCCTTAAATCGTATAATTTATATGGCATTCTGTAGTGTCAGTATGTTACATGTAACGTATGCCACTGCCAGTGTTGTGGTACTGTGGAGTTTTTGCCTTAATTGGTTACAGGTGGCAGCTCTCTATTGCGCAGCCTGTAGGCTTGCGTAGGTAAATGGATGAGTGTTTACCTATTCTGTCTTGCAGATAGTTGTTGCTGCTACGTATGATGGGAGCTTCCATCTTTAATCTGAAGACACTTAAACGTACGCGCCATCTCGTGGCAACTTTCATAACGATCCCAACGAACATTCTTTTGAGAAGGTTCCTGATACCATCCCTGTGCATTCCACTGTTTCGGCATGTATGTGAACACATTTGGGACTAACAGGGTTTACTAGAATCCCACCACTCCACCACAGAGTCACCGCAGTAGACGTTAGATGAGCGCTGTCGCTATGCGGCACTTGTTTTATATGTCAAGCACGATTATTAAAATACATTCTCTTTAGAAAGCTGATCTATCATGAGATGATGATCAATGTACCTTAACTGTGGAGCCGGTGATATTATGCGAGCATAACTGGGATTAATAATAAATTATTTTCAATTGCTAATACTAGTCTTTTGTTTATATCTATTAAATTTTCTTCTGTGTTATGTACTGCTGTTAATATATAGCCTCAAGCTTATTTTATATGAATTATTTAGACAATAATACACTTATGAAATAAAATTATGACTGTGTGACATGCATAAACCATATGCACGTACTATATTTTTTTATTTAATATATACATATTTGTATATATCTCAAACAATTATCACCATAACCTCGTAAGCTCGTATGTAATAGTCATCAAAGTCCAGGGGACTATATCGAAGACGGAGAGACAAGTTGAGCCATACTATATTGTAGTCGGGGAAATTACAGCTACACAGGTGAATTCACTGGATTTGTAGTAAAGCTGTAAGAACTCAAGAATGACACATTAAGCCAGAAATAACGTTAAAGCCACAATAATGTTTAATCAAGATTATTCATATTTCAGTAACAAGATTCTCTCTCCAAACCAATTCAAAGAATTGTTGCTTCTAACACAAATCACGTACTATAGCCGCACAACTTTACTCGGCCGATTAGATCATGCTGTCTACTGTCTGCTCGCTAAACTACACTATTTCTCTACCTCTCGAAATCGACACGCGCTTTTGCTTTTATATGAGCGCCCGAAAAATGGTCGTCTTTGCTCCCTTCACGTGACGCAGTTTTCCCACTTCATTGCCGAATACGGTAACCAAAACGAGCAAGCAACTTCCTCGCTCTTCGTTCTTTTGCTGAAATTCTACTGCGCAGTTTGTCTCTCTCTGGCCGGGTTATTCTTGACCAGATATGAGTCATGTGCCAACGTGGCACAGAACACGTACGCGAGTTCCAACACGCTAGTTCTCCAGTGTATAGAACCATGCCCTATATGTTTAGCCAGCTTTCCATATTGTGTTACTCCATTTAACCGGATAACATCCCATTCACCACTATAGCAAGTCAAGCATTGCTACTTTCATAATTATGAAGCTACATTCATGTAAACTACACGCTTACAATAATTATAACGATACACTGAAAACCGAAATGCCGATATACTGATATATACATGAACATCAGGAGTAGATAATAGGGATAATTCCCTATTATCTACTCCTGAGGACCTGATGAACATGTTACAGTTAATGTGGGTTATTTTATTTTACCTCCAGTATATTAGTACACAGACAGGCGTTAATATATAACGTTAATTATAGACATAGATATTTACATAGATACATACATAGGTATAGACTTGGGGTAGTATCTATGATATAGACGATAGCTGCTTGTTAGTACAAACATGCAACGGGTTTTCTGTTTATTCCGACCGCTAGGTGGCAGCTGCAGTCTGATGGATTAATCGACACAGATCTGAGTTTCCAACTCCATTCATTGACATTGGTTACGAGTTTAGCAGAAGATTTTTTTCATTTCAAACATCCCTTTTCTCTTTTTGTGTAATGTTGCGGGGGATCTTCAATGGTTACAAGGCGTGGTTTTCTAAAAGTGTACACATAGAATTCAAGAAAAAGTGGTGTAAGAAAACGCGTCAAGTTTAAATTATAAGTATATTACTAGGTCGAGCCTAAACCGACCAGGCTCTCCGACTGTTACACGACGGAGGAGTGACGGGTGACGGAGGAGGCCACGTAGTGTCACTGGCAGCAAGAACCACTCCGCTGCAGCTACAGCACACACACGGCCATTGTCTATATATAACATCATAAAAATATATGTTATATATAGACAATGGCCGTGTGTGTGCTGTAGCTGCAGCGGAGTGGTTCTTGCTGCCAGTGCGTAGTGTTAGGCGAGATGGGAACTTGTGGCTAGGTCGAGCCTAGTGCTGATAGGGTCTATGTCCCCCAGGGTACTGCCGGAACGTACCCTGGGTACGGTCCGGTATACCGGAACGTACCCTGGTACTATCTAATATGCCGGACCGTACCTCGCCTACTCTCGCATGTATTTATATAAGGAAAGACTTTGCTTACAACCTGAGACCTGATATGTTTAAAATTGGGCTAGGAAGCAATATGGGCTCGAAATATTACTGCCACGAACAAAACCACATATTAACCGGTGTTTGTTATAGACCACAAAAACAAGGAACTTCTTTGAATTACTAGAGAATGTATGCATTTCTACGGAAATTTGTGGAGTTAGAATTATTATTCTAGAGTGATTTTAAGTCAATATACTCAGTAAACCCATAGATATGGATCAGGACCACATTAAATCATTCAAAAAAATTCTGCTATCAATTTTCGATTTAAAACAATTAATTACCAGCTCGCACTAGGTAACAAGTTCATCAGAATCAGCAATGGACTTAATAATGGTTCGGATGCGGATAAGATTTGCCAGTCGCGGTACTATAGTTATGGTATAAGGATCATTTCCTAAAACATACTGTACAAGGAAAATCTATTACTATAGAAAGGTTATAGGTAAGCATCGTACTACTCGGAATTAGGTCAATGAAACACCTACCGAGCCAGAGGTATTAAGAGATCCTAATGAAAAATAAATGCATTGGCTTCAGATATCTTGGAATTCAGATTATCTATAGATATAGCAATGGGTAAATTTTAAAAACCTAGTCTCTTGACAGCCATCGACTGTACACCATTTAAGCGGTCAAGAATAACAACAGATGATCAAGAGACATGGTTTTCAACTCGAGATAATAAGGAACTTATTAGGGAAAGGGACAGAAAATATTACAATTCATGAGAAATAAGGATGAAATTGACTTTAGGGATTTCAAGCTTATCTTAGAACAAAGTTACAGAAGAGATTAAGAGGGGCAAAAGTCCGCATTTTTTATACAGAAAAGATTGCGAAAGCAACAAGAATATAGCCTAAAGAAGCTTAGGCAACTCCTAATAAAGTAATGGGGTATGAACAATAAAAGAAATATAGCTCGCGTCAGGTAGGCTTTAAAAATTGGGGACAATACTATTGTTTTGCAAAAGGCAAAAGGGTATGCAGATTAGGCTTAATACTTTTTACAAACTGGCCTCGACCCTAGTTGGGAAAAATTGCCCAAAAATAGTCTGGCATTTTACGATGAGACACGAGTAACTAATTTACCTATAGAGACAGCTAGAGGAGTACTAGAAATAATTTTAAAATTTCTCTGTGAAGCAAGAAGAGTATGTCTTAAAGGGTACTTAAATGAACATTAATACCCTGATAAGGCTTTACAGGTTAGATAACAAATTACAGCTAAATTTATAAAGATGGTCTGGAGCAAATTGGATTTTGTGAGGTGCTATTTAACATATGTATCAACTGTATAAATGTCTCTCATGAATAATATACCAGATGATTATAAGAAATGTGCAAGCGATGAGTCACTCCCTTGTTCAGCAAAAAAGGGAAAGTTCAAAGCCGATCCAGATGCGAGACGATACTAGAGAAGCGATTGCCAGAAAGGCAGATGTTGACTCCAATTGCGCTGAAGCGCAGATTTTTTCGCGCGAAGTCATCGCCGGCAAGCAGCGCACGCGTACCGCGCAACGTCCTACGACAGTATATGTCAGCGCTGCGCTATGGATCCGTGCGCCGAATGAAATTGGCCGGGCGCCAGCGATCCATAGCTGCCAGCATACAGTTCCGCGTCATTATTAGTGGGGGACATCAGAGGGTAGACCATTATTGGGACGGTCAACAGTGTTGACTGTCTCTATATTGAAAACTGTAACCGTAGTAAATGCTGTTTCGTTGAACCGAGCTGTGTGACGCGATCACAGAAAGACTGTCGAAATTCTGACTTTCGCGAAACTGCCTCAGTAATGGAA